GCTAAATGTCAACTTACTTGTATAAATATTCTGCAAGTCCATATATTTTTAGTGTGAAATCTTCAATAGGAACATCAGAGAAATCTTCTGAAAGCATGTACACAGCCTGACTAATAATGTGCTGAACTGACGTACTCACTGTCAAATATATGAAACATGAATTTATAATGTATCATCCAGCAAGAAGTTTGTGCATATTTACCGGTACTAAAAGGAAAGGTTTTTCTGGTCTAGTTCATGTGCACATGGCACGGATCATTGAAATATGATTACAATGGCTCATCTTAGATTTGGATTGTGTCCTTGAAAACCGAAAAATTACAGAATGATGACGCAACCAGGGGGTGCAAAATGCATAATACGGAACATGTGTCAGTGCAGATAACCGACTTTGATTCCCAGACGAACCTCTTCAGTCAAGTACCTTAGCTTCACAAGACACCTTCAAGAACATTGTGTACGATCAATGAAGAGATATACAGGTACAGTACTATAATTGTTTTTAACATGTCTGCAAATGTGGACCCGCAATTAGGCAACAATGTATTAACATAGTTGGGTTTTAAGAGATTGTTATTGTCTGTGTACATTGTGTATATGTAATCTGTTTCCAAGAGCTGAACAGCATTATATGGTTTCAAGTACATGAGTTATATTGTCATTAAAATTTCTTAACCATGACAAATGCTATAGATGATTCTAGTGAAAAGCTTCAATGAAATTGATACACGCATAGCTGAGAACAGGCACAAATAACGCCAGATTTTACCAGTGAATTTTCACAATGAAGTAAGTACACTCTGAAAATAGCGATAAATTTCAGCTCACCATCACAGGAGAAAGTAACAGGGTGCTCTGCATGGCTACTGAGTAAGATTATTTTAACACTGCTTTCAAAGCCACTACTGTAAGGATGCTGGAACACGGCACTCATTACGTGTCCTGGATTTGTAGTTCTGTTATCGTACTCGTACACACTACGAAAACTATTATGATACAGAAAAATAAAATATCAGTACCAATAGTATTTGAGTAGCATAAGATAGAATGACATGACATAGCTTGGGCAATGGCAGTTGACCAGCATTCGCACGAGTGTGGAGTTGTATTTCAGATGACAGACAGATGTGGGTCAAATTACAGTAAAGTATATACATGTAGTACAAATACTGGTATTACCATGTGAAGATTTTTTATCTCTAAAGATTTTCAGAAATAAAATGAATGTCATTGAAGTTCAACATGTAAGTTCAGTCAATACTCTTTGGTCTTCATCTGACTGACCGAAATTCATGCGAGCTATATCTATTTCGCCAGGAAGTATTAACCATTTATTTACCTGATTATGCTTGCTGAGAAAGCTTTTGCTTCTTCATCTTTTTCTTCAGCCAGATCGAACAATCCGTCACCAAAGAACACACGCTCGGCCTGTTACAACATAGAACATGTACAATCAAGTTCAAATTGATTGAATACGAGCCAATCACTAATATACTATCCACAGACTGCAGAAATGTATACAACAGTCATAGATGCTGTAATTGCAGTGCAAGTACTTGACATGTAAAATCTTAAAAGCAAGGCATTATACACTATACACTACACGATTGAAATTCACAGATACCATATACAAGTACACTAAATGAATGAAATTTAGAGACCACAAATAGACCACTTTCCCGGACTTAGTAAGACTAGGGTGCAAAAATACTCCTGCTTTGTCATGGCGGAAAATACAATGGTGTCAGTTTGCTGATAGTCGATAGAAGAAAATTTAAATTAAAAAAGTATTCTTGTGACATAGATTGGTGCACCCAGAAGCACAATATCACATATGTAAGTTTATGTTACATGCTAAAACCTTATGCATGCATATGCGAAACGCTGTATCATCAACTTTCGGGAAAATGAATGAAATTCACATAGACCACATAAACTAACAGAATTCCTAACCTGCCTTGGTGCCCTGCCATCATGATACACTGTATTAATTAATTAAAGCATTTTGGCCATGACTTTTCTAAAGTCTATTTTGAATTAACATAAAACAAAGCAATATATTGCAGACAAGTTTACCTTTGCACTGTCAATGGCCCCCATGGCTAATGACACTGGTCTCCATGTGGAACTTCTGTTGGGAGCCTTTGTTCTTGCTTGTGGTCTCTCTGCTCCATGAAGAGTGTGTGGTCTGGGTGATTTGGGCCTTTTAGGTGGCACTTGTGATTTTCGTGAAGCTGGTGACTTGGGTCTAGATGGGGATACTGGGGATTTAGGTGGAGAGGGCCTTCCTGGAGGTTTTTTCACATGAGCTTCCGCACTAGGTAGATACATGCATGAAGGAGAGGGTGTTCGTCGTACTTGCGGTAAAGTAGTGCTGGCGTTTCTCTGCGATTCATCATAAGAAGGTAGTGATGATGGATCTGCTTGACTTAATGATGAATTTGTCGTCACATTGCTAGTAGATGACAGCGGATCAAAATCCATCCAACTTACAGACGACAAGTTACCCTCACTACTACTCTGACGAAGTGGGTACATCTCTGGAGGGGATATCTCTTGCCGTCCACTTTTTCTATGTGCAGGTCCTAAATCTAGGGTATCAAACTCCCTAATAATATCATCCATACTATTACTTGTCATTTCACTTTCTCTAGCAATATTGCATTGATTTCCCAAGGTTGACGTTACTCTGATAGATGGCGCCTGGCTCGACTGATCTCTGCCTGTCCATACAAAAGCCTGTTTTGTGGTAGATACATTATGTTTATTGTCAAATACAAGTGCTTTAGATGATGTGATAGCAGATGATGGAGCTGCCTTAGCAGGACTCTTGAAAGCAGACAACCCTAGATCAAAATCTTGCCATGATGATTGTAAAAAATTACCTGATGGTTCAGAAGTGCTGACGGTAGTTGATGATATGGATGTCATACATGATGTAGTCACATTAGAACTTTGCTTTCTTGACAATGGTCTAACAGGTGTGGGTGTTACATTGGTCTTACTACACACTGCAGGTAATGAGGATGAGAACTCGGGTAATCCATCAAGGACTGTGTGAGATCCTTGAGTTTGATTCCAGGCACTTTTCGATGAAGGCATGTAATTCACAAATGATGATGGCATGCCTGTGTTAGCAGATTGTTTTTGAGAATGTGATTCTGATTGAGCTTGAAATGCACTAGCTATAGACGATCCTGAATGGCTGTGGTGGAGTCCTGAAATGTCATTAGCTTTGACATTCTCATTTAGTGTGACTTTTATTTTTTGTGACACTTTGGTGCTATTGGGCAATGACTGGCTTTGAATCGCTAAATCCAAACTCCAGGGATCTTGTGGTACATGAGCTGCAGTTGTGGTCAGCAGTTTTTGATCATTCGCATTACTACTCACCCCAGTTGTAGTTGCACTTGCTGTTGTTGCTGATGTTGGTCCAAATAATTCTTGCAAATCTTGTTCATATAATGATGACACAGGTTTAATATTCATGGACGGTTCCAAATCAATTAAATCACGCTGAATGGGTACAGCAATAGAGTGAGGCTGTGGGCCTTATCGGCTGGTTGGAACTCGGCAAATTTGACATAGTTCTTCTACTCACTGCATCACGGCGCCTAAATATTTCCTCCAAAGCTGATGCAGAGATTTCACCACCTCTTTGCAGTTGCTCAATTTGAGCTGTTTCTCGGCTTAATGCTAGAGCTTTCTCGAGATCGTCATCTTCAATCCTGGATGGCTGTGATACCAGTGATGGTTGCTGTCCAGGTGGTCTACTTGGCAGATGGTTGGACATATTTTGCAAGACTTGAATATGTCAAAACATTCAAATATAGCAGAACTCTACATCATTGTACAGCATTAATTCTTTTATTCATATGTTGTATGCGGAAAGATAACGTGACATGAAACAGATATCAAACCAAGTAATAATTACATGAAGGCACCCACAGAAATCTGTGAAAATAATGAAAAAGAGTATAAATATTGCTGCATTTCTGTGTAGTCAGGCAATCTTGTATAAAGTGTGAGTAATTCTCCATTCCCCACTATCATGAGAAAATGTACAAACCTTATCAAAAGAAACTTTTTAGAAGAGTAAATATTTACACTACTAATGTTGAATTTACTAAATCCTAATTTTTAAAATAACATGTAGTAATTTATTAGTGGACTTATTCCTTTTAATTTGACTGTTCCATTATTTTAGGTGGAGGTGGGTTTAAGGTTAAATAATCAATAATAAAAATCAAGATTAATATCGCAAATAAATTTAATTTCACAGTGATAACCCAATAAACAAGTTTACAATCTTTTCAGCTGCAATGTGAATCATTTTGAGACTTTCAATAATATTTTGTTTTATATGAGTGCCAAGGTAATTGTAAAGTATGTACAGTGACAGTACTTCTGAATGTACTGATGTTAAAATTGGTTTCAAAAAACACTGTTGTTAAAATTGCAACAGATGACTCAACAATAAGTCATTCAATGTGACCTTTGACCTATATACATAAGATAATTCTTTATTACAACCTTATAGAATGAATTACATATCTATTTTGGTTTATAAAATGTAATAAAGGTGTTAAAATAAACATATCAAATTAGATATCTAAAATCTACTACAATACAGTTACATGTAATAATGTAAAAAATATTAATGACCCATTAGGTGGTTTTCTCTATACATACATACATATAATTTGTATATTAACAGTGCCACTGATATCACACAAAACATGTACAATGTATTAACATTTTGTATATACAAACAATGAATTTTTACTTGTATGGTGTTGTATATGTTGGATGGAACCCATATCGAACACAGCCAGTTGTGTCGACAGTACCGCTTCAAACTCAGCAATCTATTTATATTGTTTGTATAAAGTGCAAATTAACAAAGTGACGCGAAGCTGTCATTATTATCAGAAATGAATTGCTAACCTGATTAGACGTCATATGCACTTCATAGATAAGATAGGGAATTGTACAAACAAGATATCTAAAATAGCTCTTTGAAATTACAATATCTTCTATACAGTCCATGATTATTATTAATATTATTATTAAAAAAATTATTACTACATGTACAAACCAAGACTACACTTGATCTGGACATTTTAATTTTGTGAAGCACTAAAAAAAAGGAAATGGATACAAATATGGAGCTAATTGTTTACTTAATACCAAAATAAACATGCTTCATCAACTCTGTAGTTTACGTTCATTAATATATAACTACGAGGGCCCCAGATCCACGATATACTACTAGGAAGTCAACCTATATGAGAATAATAAATACTTATTAACAACTGCTAAATAATGGTCAAACACACGCTCTCCACAAACAAACATATGAATTATTATCTGCTACACTATAAATTGGTATGGAAATGAGGAGTTAGGTTGTGCACAGACCAACACAGTATGTGAAGAATCGTTCGAAACGTCAAACAGAGTAGTTCCTTGTTTACGACGTGTATGCACTTGGTATTAAAGTTCAATAATTTCCCGTCAATGCTTATATTG